GCTGACAGTGCTGGATTTATGCACCAATTTATCAGCACCCGCATGAAATGCGCAGCAACCTACCCCTCCCCCCAAATCATCGGTGAACAAAACTGCGGCAGCTAAAACCACCGACGAGTCCGCGGTTATTACAGCTGACAATGATGATGATGATCCGCCACGTCGATTGGTCCGAGTGCAAGCACGACCACATTTATTAACACAGCAGAAATTTCTGCAGCATATCTGCACTTAGGTGCGGGACCAGTGCGGAAATGAAACACGTTTCCACACCCAGTCCGCCCCCGGATGCGAAAATAGTGTAAACGTTTCCGCACCCAGTCCGCACTTAGCTAAAGTCGTCCGACGCTCGAATATATCCCAGTATACGCATCTATTTCCTTCCCCAGTACAATTCGATATCTTCCTAAACACTACGTTCCCGTGCCGTGATAACCCATCTTACTACTTATAATTCGTCAGCGTATTAACTTCCCGGATACAAATAAGCACTCTCAAGTACAAATGCTTTTATGAATGAATTTTACAAAATACAAGCGAAGAATCATGTTACTCTTGGCGGCTGTCTTCAGGCGTTTCCGAAATTTCTGCCGTTCGTTTTCCAGCCAGCGATGAACGATGTCCTTTATTTGCCGTAGATTTGTGTTTGGAAATTTCTCAGTTGTCGCGTCTGCAGTGAAAAAGATAGTTATTGAATTTCATCCAGACACTTGTTCAATTAACTAAGTATAAAGTGACCATCAAATACAAATAAGTCCTTGGGCCAGTCTGCTTGACCCGAAGGCTTCTTTTTCATTTATTCCGCGCCAATTGAGTAGTACGGCTAGGCCTTGGTGCCAACGTCCGTGTAAGTATGTTAGTCACGTACAGTTGTACATCGCCAGCCTCCTGCAAGAGCCACCTTTCCATCTTTGTGAAATCAATAATCGTGACCACAACTAATACTCACCAGCTGTGAATAGCGTGGACCATTTCTGAGATGTTCTTCATACTTCCGGAGATCATCCGTGGATGACAGCGAAAGAGGGGGCTCGTTGAGTGTCTGAGAACCCTTTTGTGTGCAATAATCCACAGTCCTGGCTAGGGCCTTTCTGAAGCAAGTGAGGGGATATACAGGATATTAT